AAGGAAATAATAAACACATGGTTTTACATATGGGAATGCTTTCACGGTACTGGAAAACTATTATCAGTTTCTCTCATATGAGAAGCCCAAAATACAAGTAGAGAGTGAAAGGAGAGGCAGATTCTGGCAAGCATCAGTATGGGCCAGAGCAGCCACACTAGAGGCAGATCCAGCCAGGGCACTGCCCCAACCCCAGCAGCTTGGGCACACAGGCCTAAGCCAAAGGCCCACCCAGAAAAGAGCTGCACAGATGCAAAAGAATCAGCCAGAGGCCAGCCCCAATATAACGGGTAAGGGTACAGAGACCCAAGCAGGAGGCATGCTCAGGCATCAGTAACTGGGGTGCACAGCCCACAGCCAAAGGCCACCCCAGACAACAGCTACATAGGGGCCTTAGCCAGAGGTATGCCTAGATAACATCCCAGGTATGCACAGCCCAAGTCAGAAGCCTGCCTAAACAAAAAGACAGCTCAGGGATCCTGAAAGCCACCATTCTGAACCCGGGAATTGGTGCACTGGTGAGCAGCAGAGAAAAGGCCACTTGGTAGCTTGCTGAGAATTGAAAATCAGTGGGTTAGCAAAAAGTTGCCTCAACAAAGGCACAGCAGGCTGTATCTGCTGAAATGAGAAGACACAGAAACAAGTCTCAAAAGCAGATCACCTAAGGAAAACTAGATGGAACAATGTGATACTCAAACACTAGCTCCCTGAACTGGCAACCAAAGAGGATCTAGAAAAAAATCAAATCCAAAATAATTTCTCAGATAACAGCATAGATTTTGTCCAATAGTACAAGACATGAATAATAAATCTAGAGTGGATGCAGAATAAAAAAAATAGAGAAGCTGAAGAACATGATGGAATCCCAACATAGGAAACAAATGGAATCCATAAAACAGATGCAAGCAGATTTCTAGGGGATTTAAAAATATCGTTGAAAGTTTATGCAGCAGAATGAACCAATGTGAGAACAGAATTTCAGATATAGAGATAGGATTGCAAATAATGACCAAAAAAAGAAAAATTTCTTGAAAATAGTATGGAACCATGAGAAATCAATCCAGCAGCTGTTAGATGATGCAAACAAGAATACAATAAGACTGATCAGAGTCAATGAAGAAACAGCAGACAGTGCAGATGACATTTAAAAAAGTATTCACAGAAGTAATGGCAGAAACTTGCAAGTAGGGCAAAAAAATTAACATACACATAAATGAGGCATATAGGACTCCAATAACTGTGATCAAAAAAATCTACACCTTAGCATATAATAGTCATGGTTCCAGAAACCCAACAGAACAAAATTCTACAAGCAGTGAGAAAAAAAGAAACAAATCACATACAAAAGAAATCCCATCAGAATCACACCAGACTTCTCAACACAAACTGTCAAGTGAAGAAGAGCCTGGAGTAAAGTATTTTAAGCTCTAAAAGAAAACAACATCCAACCCAGATTGATGTACCCTGCAAAACTCTCTTTCAAAGTTGATGGAAAAATAAGATACTTCCATGACAAAGATCACCTCAGGAACTTCGTGAATGCCAAACTAGCACTCAAAAAAATTTTGAACAATATCCTAGAAAAAGGCTGTGTGGGTCACAATCCAATAAAGGCCAGCAGAAAGAATCCATCAGGCACAACAAGGAATTAAACACAAAGAGGGAGAATCCAACAAAAAAATGTCATGACAAGGATAAGTCAATACATATCAGTTATACCATCAGTGTTCATGGTCTCAATTCACCAATAAAAAGAAATAGACTGGAAGAATGGGTCAAGAAGCAAGATCCAACAATATGCTGCATAAAAGAAACACACTGAATTTAAAAAGAAACCCATAGACTGAAAGTTAAAAGGTGGAAAACAATACTCCATGCATCAGGAACCCTAAAAAAGGCAGGAGTAGCTATCCTCACTGCAGATCAAGTGGATTTCAAAGCAACATTGATTAAGAGAGACAAAGAAGGACCCTACATCCTTGTGAAGGGAACAATCCAAGAGGAAGAAATGACAATCATAAGTATATGTGCATCTGGGCCAAAGATTTAGCTCAGTGGTTCCACTGCCTGCCTTGCAAGTTCAATCCCTGGTACCAAAAACAAAAACAATAAATATATATATGCACCAAACACTAGTGTGCCTAACTGTATAAAACAAATGCTAATGGACATGAAAAATCAAATAAGCACTAAAACAATAGTAGTGGGGACCTCAGTACCCCACTGTCACTAATAGATAGATAAACACTAGAACTCAATCAAACTCTTGAACAAATCAACTTAATAGATGTTCACAGAATGTTCCACCCCACAAAATCACAATACACATTTTTTTCAGCAGCACATGGGTAAGTCTCCAAAAAAAACCACACACTTCCTCATAGAACATGGTTAAGTAAGTGAAAGGGAATTGAACTGATCCCCTGAGTATTTTCAGACCATAGTGCAATGAAATTGGAGATCAACAGCAAAAGAAACCACAAGAATTTCATAAACACATGGAAATTAAAAATGCACTTCTGAATAAAAAATGGGTCACAAAGGAAATTAAGAAATCAGCTTTGACAATTAAATGACAAAATCAATACAGCATATCAGAATCTATGAGACACAAAGCAGTCTTATGAAGGAAATTCATAGCAGTGAATACTCAATTTAGGAAAACAGAGCGAGCTCAATTAAACAACCTGATGCTGAAGCTCAAGCTTCTAGAAAAAGAGCATGAAAAACTCAAAGCTCATACAAGGGACAATATTATAAAGATCAGAGAAGAAAGCAATGCGGTAGAGACTAAGAGAATGAAGGGGAAGTAAAACACTAAGTTGTGTTATGTACATGTGTCAATTCTCCATGATGACTGCAATCATTGTCAACTGAAAACATGTATGAATAAAAAAATAAAAAGTAGTAATTTTAGTACTTTCCTGAAAAAAACATAAAATGTGCCAATTAATAGACACCTGACAATCCTGCAGATGAAACTTATTTAAAACAAAACTTATCTGTATAATCTGATTCTCTGCCTGTAAATAAGATAATGTCCTTGGTGGCTATGATTTATTCATCGAAGAAGATGATATTATAGTTTCTGAAGAAGTCAGCCTAAACACTGCTCAGATTTATGCAGTCCAGTAAGGATTTTCATCATATACTTCTTGTACTCTGATGATGACACAAATACAATCTGAAGTGTCTTTTTAAGGTCACAATTTAGAAAAACACATAATTTTGATAATATCCCCCTTAGATGAGAAATGATGATGCTGAAATCAAAGTGAATTCACCTCACAGTAACACTAAATGGAAACAAAGTTAGTGTGACCACCAAAGTAATCCCTGAAATTAACTGACAATGTTAATTGTCGTGTAAGTTGAAGATATCATAATCATTTATTTGTCATAGATAAATGAAGGTTAAATTTTCATAAAAGTGAATATTTTGTCCCTGATTTCAACCCTATTGAATGTAAAAAATATTCGATTTTACAAGATAATTTCCAGCAGTTATAAGGCTGAGCTCTTGATCTTTTTTTTTTTTTTCTATACTCGCAGAAATTCCCCCCGCCTAGAAACACCAAGTATAGCATGTCATATTATGACTTAAGCTTTACTAATATCAGATGATGGAAAAAAGTTTTAAAATTCTCACCCCATTAGCCAATTCAAGAATGACTTCACCCTGCAACCTTCTCCACTGCCCCAAGCCCACAAAGAATCTGGGCCGATTGCTTACTTAAGACTTACTGCCTCGTACCTGTTGTTGATATTTTTTGTATTAATAAAGACATTGGAAACTTCAACAGTGACAATCCCTTGAAGCAAAGAGAAATTACCTTGTATTTAAAATAAAATTTTCATCTAAAATCTGTTCTAGTCTTTCTATACAGAATGACAATGTATGTAAGCCAGGCCAACCAAGAGAGGAAGCTGTAACCTTTATGACTGAGTCCATATATAATGAAGAAATCCATTTGTTCTTTAGATGGAAATTCTTGTTCTGGCTAATGCTGTTGCCCTTTTTCAGATTTAGTTTTCTCTGTATTTAAAAATTTCATTTTTTTAAAAAAAAGCACTAGGAAAAGATTCTAAAGCATGAACACTAGACTGAAATCTCCTTCCATCTAAACCTTGAAGTTGTTAATATAATTAATGTCATTACAGAAAAACTCCCTCTAAAATTGATAATTATTAGTTTTAATACAATACAATTATTTACCTCTCTGATTCTTGCTGCTGGTTGAATCTGGACACATAATATCAATTCCCTGTCAAAATGTCTTTGGGGGTTGAAATAACACTCTCTGCAAGAAACCATCCCTAAATATATAAACCTTAAAAAATCTGATACACTTGCTGTTCCTCAAGTTAATAAGAGAAAACATGAAAGACTATAAATAGGCCAGTAACGAATGCTTTATTATGCCTACTGAAAAAAGTGAGACATCTTTTTCTCTGAAATAACTGAAATCTGTGCTACTCCATTGCCTTCTTCAGCTATATTCACTTCCAAAACTGCCATTAACATTTTGGACACTTAAGTATCATAAATCTCAAGGGAAGATAGCTTCACATCAAAAAGACACTGTTCCTCACATGGAAGGAGATTATTTTAGGATGTTGAAAATCCCATGGCTTCCAGAGTGTCCACTATTGACACCAGACTCACCTGCTACCTAGCAGGCTCATCTATGTCTGTTTCAAGGGACACTAGCTCCCTCTGAAGGCCTCACCCTTGTGAACAGGCACAGGGTAAATCTTAAGTTCTCGGCAAATGAATTATTGGGTGAGCTTTATTTTGTAATCATGAAGGACACCAATGTCTGCCGCTAATAACACCAGTTCTTTCAAGTACATGTCCAACCATAGCAAAGAAAAAAGCCCTAGCACAGCCAGGTCACCACCTTGGGGTTGATGCAATAATCACCATGATGACCAATGCTCCAGTCATTGTGATAAACACTGCACTACTGCTCAGGGCTGTCACTAAGCCAGAAGAAAGATCTGCAGGAGTGTGTACTGCCACTTAGCCCCATGGCTCAAGATGGACTGCCAAAAATTTATTCTCATCCTCCAACAGAAAGCAGTAAAATACCAGCAGAAGCAACCATTTTCTTTGGGGCTGACACTGTTCCTATACCAGAAACAACTATCACATCTGGAGATCATGTCACTTCAGTAAACGACTGCGTTTTAGAGAGTGATTTTTCAACGCCTGCAGGCAACAAGATTGTGACTACAAAGGAAAGACTAAAATCAGAAGATGAAGCTGAGAACCACATCAAGTCAACAGCCCCCTTAGAGAAAGAAATGACCACTCCCGCTGGCACTACAAACTCCACAGCTAAGGAATATAATACTGAAAATTTCATTCCACTGAAGGTTGGCAAGATTTCATCCCCAGTCACTACTGTTTCTTTAATAGATTTTTCCACTAAAACAAAACAAGATAACCTCTTGGCTACTGCTGACATCAGGAATGAAGACATCTCAAAGCCTGCTGAAAGCTCTGGCACCCTAACAGAAGACACTGTCAGTGTCACTGAGAACACTGCCTCTGCAGCTGAGAGTGGGGAGATTGACTGTAATTCTTCCCTCAACCCTTCCATTCCTGAGGTTGAAGTCTCTCCCTTAACTGAAAATAACTTCACCACCATTCCAGACATAACAGCCCTTGCAGAAGAGAACATAACTGAAATTGACCTAGTAGTCTCCCAGGTCAACGCCAAGGCTGTAGCTAAACTAAGTGACACTGAGGAGGAGAAGCTCATCACTGTGTTCGAACTCACTACCTCTATTGAAAAAGACCAAGGTAACCTGGAAGAGGCACTAAGTGATGAAGAGTCCATTGATGAAGTCAATGTTTGGATGCAGAGACACACAAAAAAAGGAAGCAGAAACGAATTCTGTTTTGCTTACTGCTGCTGAATCCAAGTACAACTTCACTGTCCCTGCCTCAGAAGCTATGAACATGGCAGGAGAGCCAGATACTGACACAACAAAAGACCTGCCTGAAAATAATACAACAGAACCTGTACCTGAGCCAGATACTGACACAACAAAAGACCTGCCTGAAAGTAATACAACAGAATCTGTACCTGAGGACACCGAGTCACTTTCTGACACTCCAAACCCCGAGGAAGACACCTCCACAACTGAAAGTGGTGTCTTCAAACTACTGAAAGAAGATCCAGACGAGCTCATGATGTAAAGGCAGTGCAAGGGGTGTCGCATAGGACTGCACAATAACCTGGAAGCCAGTCTCAGCATGGGGACGTTTTTCCAGCAAGCAAACATCTTTAAAAATTGAAAAAATGTAGCCATTAAGGCAAGTATTAGACTTAGAAAATACAGAGGTCATGCAGCAAAATATATTCTATGATGTTTTCAAAAGTTGCGGTGTAAGAGTATTCCCTAGTATCACAAAGTTTTTGTGATCCAACAGTTCTTCGTTTGAATGAACAAGTCCCATACTTGCCTTTGGAAGTATGGAGACAGCACTACCTGTGACAGGTAATGGTGTGTGCCATGTTAGCTGAGCCTCGATGTTACATTTTAATGAGAAGGATATGAAGGGAATCAAATTAACATTATTATGGTATTAAAAGATAGTTTTCTTCAGTAGCATCGCACCAGTGATTCTCTTCTATTATAAAAACGTATTTGCCAAATAAGTCACACGTGTAAATACCGAATAATTTCTCTGGTGTAAAAAACTATAATAGTACATAAGATCCTAATAAGATAATTAACAATGTGAAATAGGAAGAAAAGGGCTAAAAGTGTAGGGAAAGTGGAAAGGTAATAAGGGAAAAGAAAAAAATATGAGAAAATGAAAAAATGGAAACAAAGTATTTATTAATGGTGAGGGGAGGAGGGGGTGAAGGGAGGGCAGGAATAAGGGGAAAAAATAAGAACCAAGACCTGTCATGTAAAGGTACAAGATCCTAATAATGAAAGTAACTGTACTGTATACCTAAAATGTACCAATAAACTCAATTTAAAAAACATATTTGCAACTGTCACCAATATAAAAGTTGAACCTGTTCAGTAATTCTTCAACATTCACATGTAAAAAATAAGTTAGGGCACTTGTCTTATATTGAATGCAAATTAAAACAAAATGATATTTCACAAATATGTTCATTTTTGTGAAAAATACTGTTGACATATGAATCAGCTTACTATTTAATTCTTTAAAATTTATTTCTTTATTTTAATATCTGTATCCTGAATTTTTGTCTTTTTTTTCAGGTTATAACATTGAATACTGTACTCTTCTTATGTTCTTGGCTAGAAATTCATGGGCATATATCTTCATTCTTTTTGGACACAGACTTTTAAATGGGTCTGTTTTCACTTTGCTGATTTCAATAAATTATTCAATGGCAACTTATTCACTGTGTGCAGGTGTGTTTGATATTCTATTATGGAACTCTTAAGAGATAGGTAAAATTAAAATTCAATGTGGTACGTGTGTGCAGTGCACAGTGATTACATTCCCTTACTTCCTTTTTCCAAAGAAGGAAAACTCTCCTAAAGAGATTCCCTCCACTGCTGTTCAAGGTGGTAAAGTAGCTCTGCCTGAAGATAAATAAAAGAATATTTGTAACATGAATGCACCTGAAGGATGAGTAGTCAGGTCTGTATATTCATGGTAAGTGCCCTTCCCCGATTCCATTTATTTATTTTTACATATGTATCTTTTTTTCAGTTTCTGTTAGTACATGTTTATGGTACATAATGATCACATTCCTTGAGTAGGGGTGAACAATGGGTATAGGAATTACATTTTGAGTCAACACTCATATTTGGGATTACTCTACTGGTATTTTCTTTTTTGGTTTTCTCAAGTATAACTGCAACATAATAGAAGGCCTAATTAAAATTAAAATCCCTTCCCTCAAATTTCTCCCACTATCTTCCATCTGCAAAGAAGACATTATCTGCAGCGAGGTCCACCCCAGCATCAGAGAACTCCTCTCTCTTTCCATCCCTGGTAAATACCTCTGCGTTCTAAAGATCACAGGAATCCTTTGCCTCCTTTCAATGCCTCTTTTATGTCCAGTCTGTCTGGATCAAGAATAACGCTTTGTAACACAAACTGATGCTATCACTTCCACATCCACACTCAAAAAGCTTCCCACCAGTGTTAGAATAAAACCCAAAATATTCATGATATTTTATCTAGCTCTCCATAATAAAGACACTGCTGTCTATGCAGCCTCAAGATACACACCTGCTGCTTCTTACTCTTAACATCTCAACTACTTTATTGATCCCTTTTGGTTTCTTTGGAACATAGCTATATCTTTTCTCACGGTCATAGAAACTGCCACACTCCCCCACAACTGTCCTGAATGCATCCTTTAAAGTTCACATACATCTCACTTTCTCAATTATGTCTTCCCTGCTCCCTCCCTATTCACAAAAGACCCTGCATTCTCCCACATAGTAATCAGAGTACACTATGTTACTTTGTGAAACATCCATATTTTTTTCAACTTCTTCTTGTATTACTTTTCTCAGATTGTCATACCAAAGTACCCTAAACCTGATTTAAAAAACAGAAATGTATTCCCTCATAAATGGAGGTTATATGTCTAAAAACAATTCATCAGCATGGCTGTGGTATTTCTAAAGGATTTAGGGAATGCATTTTCTTTTATTCCTTCTAGCTTCCTTGACCTTTCATAACTTGTAAACATATCACTCAAATCTCTCCTTCCACTATAACATGATGTTCTCCCGTGTGCCTATGGGTCCAAAGTTTACTTATGAAGACAAGAGTCATTGGATCCAGCCCACTCTAATCCAGTCTGACCACACCTTAACCAGATTCTCCCTGAAAAGGCCTTATTTCCAAGTACAATGTCACTTTCTCATCTCATCTTCACTAACCCTCTATCCACAAAAACCCCTGGAGACCCAGGGGTTAGGACCCCAGAATATTTGGATGGAAAGAAAAGTACTGCTGAATGTTCGTCTCCCTGCTGGACTATCTTTTTTAGTGATTAGTATGATCATATAATTTATCAGCAGGCCCCACACACTTTTGAGTCTGAAGAGGCAGTATTAATAAAATAGCTCATGTAAACCAGAGCATCCTGAGCAAATGAAACTATCTGATAACCAATTCAAAGGGAAGAGACCAAATCCTCCTCATTTACCAGTCAATTTTAAGAGCTTGAAACTAAGTACATAATAAACATCAGTAAATGAATGCATGAAATGGGCTGGGAATTAAGTAATAGTTGTTTTGTTTTGTTTTGTTTTTTTCATTTAAGCACAAATGATTTCAGAACGATAGTACAGCATGGATACTTGGAGTGAATGTTTGGCACTAGACCAAAAAGGGATCATTGGTTGCCAGCTGAGGGAAGAAGAGGAACAAAACTCCAGAAACATGCAATGTACTTGGTGTGCTCACTAATTCAGAAGTAATGCCAGGTCACAATGCCTCTTATTGTGAATAGAAACAGAAAAAGTGTTGGTGACATTACAGCCTTACAGGACATGTTAGTATGTGGCTTTCTGATACCGTGACGAAATATCTGAGAGAAATCAATTTAGAAGGGGAATAATTTATTTTGGCTTGGGGTTTCGTATATTTTGGGCTATGGTGGCCCAGGCACTTTCAGGCCTAGTGTGAGACAGAGTATGGTGGTGACAGAGCATGTGACAGAAGAAGCTGCTCAACTGTTGGCAGCCAGAGGCAGAAAGATAATTCACTTTGTAACATATGTGCCTCAAAGCACATTAAACTGTGAATCTATAAGGAGATCAATCCACTCGTGATATCAGAGTCCTCAGGATTCAATCACCTGCCCAAGTACCCTCCTCTGAACACTGCGGCAGGAGATGGTGCCTTCAACACAGGAGCTTTAGGGACATTGAAGATCCAAGCCACAACAAAGAAAAACAATCACATTCTATCACACATGTGTATGAGCCAGGGTTCTCCAGAGAAAAGTACCAACCAGAAAAAACAGGGAGGAAGAGGCATAGGCTAGAAACTGAGGCAAAAGTTGATGCTGCTCAGGTGAAGTCTCATATCCACAGAGAAAGTCAGCAGCCAGGAAACTCAGACAAAGTTCTATTTTATGGTCTTCAGGAACAATTTGATCTTTCCCAGGTCTTTTGTTCTTTGCCCTGAAGCCTTCAACTAATTACCTGAGATTCTCCCACATTATGGAGGGAAATATATTGCTAGTCACAGCCAAAAGCTATAATATGTACATTAGCATTTGACCAAACGATAATGTAGGCAATGTGCTACATAAAATTATCTAATTAATCACATACCATGAATAGAAATAAAGTTAAAATCTTACATACCTGGCAGCCTATGTTCCCTGAGCCAATTTCACTGAAATGAATGAATCTAGTTGACAGTAGGACACAAAAAACAACTGTAGACTCTAATAGCTGACTGACTATAACAATTATTCAGAAATTCTAGGAGAAGTTAAACAAGAAAATTAAAAATGAGGGTAAAGTAAAAGCTGTATGGACAAATATATGTAGGTCTTGAAACTTTAAGAAGATCACTCATTTTATCAAAGCAGTGTCTTCATATGCAAAATACTATCTATATAAAAGCACATGGATCTGTATCTCTATGTAGATTTTAGGTTGTTCTCATTCTAATTCAACTCTCCTTTAAAAAGGCATACCCCTAAGTGAAATAAATAAGTCACACATGTGTAAATACCAAATAGTTTCTCTGGTGTGAAAAACTATAATGGTACATATGATCCTAATGATATAACTGACAATGTGAAATATGAAGAAAAGGGATAAAGGTGTAGGGGAAATGGGAAGGGTAGGGGAAAGCTAATAAGGGAAAAGGAAAAAAAATGAGAAAATGAAAAAATGGAAATAAAGTTTTTGTAAATAGAGAAGGGAGGAGAGGGTGAAGGGAGGGCAGGGATAAGGGGAAAAAATGAGAACCAAGATCTGTCATGTAAAGGTGCAAGATCCCAATGATGAATGTAACTGTACTGTATACCTAAGATGTACCAATAAACTCAATGAGAAAAAAATGATATGAATATATTGAAAAGAAAATATTGTTTAATGTCCTCCAATTCACCTTTTGAATAAAGTCTTAAGGTTCTCATCTGTTCTTTAATGTATGACAGTGTGAATTCTTTCCAAGCTGATACACTATTGTTAACAGCAAGCCTGAAGGAAGAGCGTACCAAATGAGATTATCCTCCAGCAGGCCTTCCGTGGGGTGTTTTCCCATCACTCTGGTTATGAACATTTTCATGGCAACCAAACTTTACCGATGTTAAAACAAATGTCAAACTACCACAATGCTCATATTTTGTATTCTACCATGCAAAACTCTGTGT